TACTGTATTGTTGATTAACTGTTGTAAGCATTCTAAACCAGGACAAAACCCATCGTAGTTTCACTGCACTAACGTGAAAGTAAAATATTTTTAACACTGAGAACGTTGGGAAGTCAGAGAGGAGTTGTTAAGATAAATCGTCATCATTATTTGTAGATTGCAATGTTGTACTTTTAATTTCTGAATTAACTATATTAAGTTGCTGTTTGATTTTCTTAGAAACTCTTGCAAATCTATTCTTGATTGTTCTATCTTCTAGTGAGGGGTATATTTTATACATGTCGTCGAGTAGTGACTAAACATTTTGAGTGCTTCTTGTAGAGGGGTATTACTGCCAATTGTCCAGAAAGGCAAGATAATTTTCAACCGATAAGGAGAATAAGTTTGGATTTGTTTGATAAAGATTATTGATTGTGAGAACAGAGGAGTTGGTTAATTTAGACTGGTCAGGTGCGTCTTTCTTAGGTTTTTTAGTTTTATGCTTTTTATGGACATTTGCTTCGGGTCAAAGCATTTTCATGTCTGATGGGTATATTATTAGATGTGTTTGTTTCTTGGGGGGTTGAATCGTTGAAGTCAGAACGAGTTAATTTCTGACCAGTCAGTGGTAGGAATAAGAAATTCATTGTTTGTGGCAATAGAAGAGGTGGAAATATCGACAGTTTTTATCTGCTTACCGAGAACCGTATTTTTTTATAAGGTTGGTGGCGCGTTATTGTTTTGATGGCGTAGGAGTAGCAGGGATGGGTTCAGTTGGAGTTGTTTGTTTATTTGGGAGCGGGTTGCTGGGGGATTTTGACAATTATTTGCTGTTGTTTTTTTCGTAGAAAATATGCCATTTTATCAATGGACAAATATATTCTGTACGACTTATTGTCGAATGGAATTATTAATGAAGTTTGAAGTTCGATGCTATCGGTGGTAGGAGTAACGTATACTTGTTTTCTGAAGCTCATAATATGCGTAAATTCACCATCGGGGATTCCGGCTTTTATAGATGACACTAGTGAGGCTGAACACGTATATCTTAACGGTGCTTTTCTATAATTTCATGAAATATTAATGGGCAGACGGTGGAGATGAGTCATTTGGCTGGGGGCTACCAGTCTTCTTACGGGTAATTCAACAGGGTTGATTATAATCGTAGGACATTCTGTTGTATGTTCAACAATTTCAGGATTTGTTAAGTAAATTCATATCCATTTATTAGAAATTCTTGAGGCGAAGCCTATGTTTTTGGGACTAACAATGTTATCTATGGCTTTGACGTAGTCGAGTAGTAGTAAGTTTTGTTCTGCATGTATTAATATTGCTTGATCTTTTTTGGGATATTTCGGTTTGGATTTTGACATAGTAGCAGTTGCATATGAATTTGGATTATTACTGGTAAGGTTGTTTCCAAACATGATGTTGCTAGCTGTAGAAGAACATTGATTTAAGTTATATAGTCAAAAGTAACTTTTGGTTTTCTTGTGATAGACTTTCGACTTCAATGATAGGCAGTAATTGTAACGCATATCCGTATTACTGGTTGCCTAGCTAAAATTTAGTCCAAGGATTGGCGTATGTCACATGTTAAATTATGGCAAAAAGAATTAACATAGCTGAATGTTTTGGTTAGAAAATTATTAATAAACAATTTCTTACTGAATAATACTACAGCTCACTATTGATGTTAAAAACTCTACACAACAATTACTAACCACTTTTTGATGGTTAAATATGTTTAAAAACTGTTATTTAATGTGATAAATAGCTAATAGAACTTTTCATCAGGCGCCATGTTTTTCGTACAGACCGGTTTGACAATGACCAATGACGTTTAATAAATATTGTACGTCATACGTACTGGTTTATAAATTAATAAAAAAATATTTATTAAATAAATATTTTTTATTTAATAAAGAATTACATATTTCATAACAACATTGTTTGTTGTTTCTTTTCATACAGATATTATAATAATAATCGATTAAAGAAAATTGATTAGCTAATTGTGACACTTTATTTTTTTCAATAACTAGATTTTCTTGGGTAGTTTTTATATTAATTATCTGTATAATTTATATTACTAACCGAATCTATTTGTTTACATTCAGTTACATTCGAACTGAATGTCCGTTCGAAAAAAAAGGCTGATACTAATTTTGATGAAAAGTCCTATTTCTACACTGATTCACAAAGCGGTATGTACCATGGGCGGATACACGGGGAAATAGAAAAATTTCCCCTCCCAAGAAGGTCCAATATTAAAGAAATCCTGTTTCATTATGTGTTTCATTAGAAATTGTTTACATGAAACACATTGTAGTAAATAATTATTGTTAAATATGCGGTAGATGATAACAAATCTTGAATTATTGAACCATAATTCCAAAGATGATTGGTATTATACTGAACCACATAAAGTAACTCGTAGCCTTGAGCTACCAATCTAGCTTTCTATGTTCCGTTAACACTCACATTTTCTGGTTGTTTCACTAAAGTCCACGTATTGTTGACTTGCAAGGACTCATGTTCATCGATGATTACTTGTCTGCATTCTACGTCCTTGACTGCGTCAGAGGTTTCAGGGACATCATCAAGAAGTTGTCCCCAATTATAATCCTCAAGGTATGTTGGTCTGTTTTTATTTCGCGTAATTCTATTTTTATTAATTTTTTCAACTTCTTCGTGTATATTTTCTTGTTCAGTGATTCTTTCAGGAATATTATCCACTATATTTCGAATTTGAGCAATTTGTTCATTATCATTAAGTCTAATTTTTTCATTTTCAAAAATTATATTCTTAGTTAGTTTAGTTAGTAGGATTAGTTTTCTTTCTTCTGGATTCCATAGTATGTAGCCGTTATCTGAATAACCCATCATAATCAGCTTTTCACTACGAGGATCAAGCTTAAATTTTCTATTCACTTTAGGAATTAAATTATAAGCATTACAACCAAATAATTTTATCTTTACCATATTTGGCTCTTCACCATACCAAATTTCAGCTGGTGTTTTGTTATAGGTAAAGTTCGAATTTCAGTTCTATTAATTAAGTATGCGCTAGTCTCATAGCTTTACTCCACATGCTTTTATCTAAATTTGAATCAAATATTAAACATTTTGCCTTTTCCATAAAGATTCTGTTAAAACGTTCAGAAACACCATTCTGTTCTGGATTCCTAGTTACTGTATACTGAATTTTGATTCCATTATTTGAACATGTATGTATGCATGTATCTATGTATGTATAACAATTTAACAAAGTAAGTTATATTATCATGAGTTATTGTATTTATGTCGACACACATCTGTGAATACAACTTTTAAAATTCTTTTTGCTTTTCTTTCAACGTCAATGCTGTGAAACGGCAATCTTAATTGTTTTTTTAAACAGATTTCACATTTACCAGATATGCGATACATTGCATAGTAACTGCATAGAACTCATTTCTCTATAAATTAGCACATTACATTCAACGCTGTTATTTGTGCTTCTGTAGAGGTCTATATGTTAATTTAACAATATACAAGATATTTCTTATCTCATTAGTTATCACAGCATGATTTCCTTTTATTATGTTGATTTGTTTATCTTTGAATACAATTTGAAGACCTGCTTCTTCCATTTTCTTCACAGACGTTAAATTATATGAAAGTTGATTATATTTTTATATATTTTTCATCTCAATTCGGTTACCATTTACTGCTTGTAGATTCAAATCACCTTGTTTTATTACTTCCAATGATTAACTTTTCTTTACTACGTTTATGTCATACATTACTTCCTGGATATTATCTAAAAACCTTTCTACATCCTTTGTAACTAAGTGATTTGTAGCATCACTATCTATTATGAAATTAATTTCACCAGATTCTGAGTTTCTAACTAAGATGGTTTTCTCTACAGTCAAAAATGTTACCGTTTTACCATTTTCAGCTGTGAATGCCCTATTTCCACATTTTTATTTTTCCAACACTGATAGCGCTTGTGGACAATTTTTTTACAGTTATAGCATAATTATTTTTAAATTTAAATTGGTTTATTATTCATCACATTACCATTACAGGTTCCAGCTTTATTCTTCCATTTATTCCATGTCTGTTTATCTGATACAAATGCAACATCAGGATTTGTTTCACGGTCATTTGCCTCTTCTATTAGTAGCTTGTTTTTAACAAAGTCTAATGTAACTTTAGTTTCATCTTGATAAAACATAATATTATTTGTTCTAGGAACTGCTTGATATGCTTCAGGCATTGTAGAGAGTAACTGTGGTGATACAACTTCACTGTCTTGTACTTGACCTTCTTCACTTTGAAGTCCCCACACAGTTTGATTGAATTCTGTTAAAAACACATTTAAAGACCTTGTTGTGTATTTCAATGACTTTAGTTTCTGCTGCAGTTGAACCTATCTCTTTTGTTGAGGTATTTAATCTTTTCGAGTATATTGTCATGCAAACATTGCACAATTCGATTCTAGGCTTCAACATCGTTTTTCTTATATATTTCTCGAGTGACACCACATGCAGGTTTATCTTGGGATAGTACAGCTAAGACACCATCTGTTTCCAGTAACAATTTTACTAATTTTACTCTGAATAACCAGATGGAGAAATTATTTCCATCAAAGGGTTTGATGTACAACATTTGTTTCCGCCATTGTTGTCGTTGAGTTCCGTACCACGTTTTCCCCATTTCTAATTACCACTATGTAAACTTTTTAAATTTCCACAACACTGGGTCGATAACCTGTAGGTATGCGTGATGGAAAAGTCTGCTTAGAGATGGAATACTAAACGATACGTTGACAAAAATAAACGTTTCTATTTTAGCACAAATTCCTGATTACAATCTCTCTTGGTCCTGCTTGTTGACGTTTACACTAGTGTCACTGACAGGTGGTGCCAACACCTAGAATAATTGTAATACCAACAGTTTCTTTCCATCCATTTTCTGAAGACAATTTCTGATCCATTGCATATAAAAGAACAATAAATAAAACACGGTTTAGTTATGAGCAAATTTTAATTTCTTGTGCTATATAATAAAAAAATATTTCAACAAAATAATAATGAATTCATAATTCATTTCTAACCTTTGGTTCAAAGTTAAAAGATTTTTTAATATTCGAACGTTTATAGATCTTTGATCTTCTCAGCCGTTCAAAAATCTCAGGACTACCAAATAATCTCCTAAAAGCAAAACAATAATACATCGAGGATGTAGTTTATGATCAGTATTAAAACATTGGGAAATATCGAGGGTAAATGTGAACTTTGGAAGACATTGCTAAAGATAACAATCTTAAATAATGGATTGGAAAGACTTATATTATACTCTTCAGATTAGCGGTCAACAAAGTTACTTGGACCAACGTGACAGCAAATCTCCATAGAAGAAGAAAACTGAACAACGCCATTATTTATAAACAATTTTTTGTTTTCATTATTATTGAACTGCTTCTATTAATAATGCGTACTATTACAATTTCACAGGTAATTGATAATAGTTTATATACTTTATTTGAAATTTAATGAAAAATTATTAACACTTTATCCCATTGACTCATATTATAGCAAATGTCAATTATCGTCAGGTCACGTTAGGTACGCGAAATGACATATTTTTACCTAGAGTTACCGGATCATAGAGTCATCATACTTTGTTTCTTTACTTCTTAGTTAAAATTCGTAAAATTTGTTTGGTTCAGAAAGACAAAATAGGGAAATAAGTTTTTAACTAAATCTAAATATTAGGAATAAAAAAATTACACTTAGAGACTTAAAACAAGATTTAGACCATATACTCTTTCCAGGGGTCAAAGATTTTTGATTATTGAGGGCAAAATAGATAAAAGTAATTTTAACAAGGCGGCCATCAAGATAGAAAGTTTTAATTTAAAAACTATTTGAAAATGTGTAATCTGGACATTAAAGAATTAATGAAATTGGCATTCTTTAATATTTTTAAGGTATTTATACCTATATTAAACTCAGAATATGCCGAAGGAGACTTATATAACTATTTAGATAAGTTTTAACTCCTATATTAATATAGGATTATTATTTTATTAAAGCGTATCTTTCGATGTTCTGTATTTACGGTATCCATTAGTTCTGAACAGAAAAAATAATTACCTTGTTCAGGAAAGACTTTAAAGATTTCTACTACTTTTTGAGTGATTATTTGGTAGATACTGAACGTTCTACGGCTTTTTTAATAAATAGTCTACACATATCCGTATATAATAGTTTGATTTACTATCAGGTATTTGTTACAATTTTTTGGCAGTATATTTACAGACTGTGACAAGGAAACGGCAAAAAATGCTTATTTTGGAATGTATTTTTTGCAAGGAAAATATCTTGTAATACATTTTTGTCACATCCTGTGGATATAAAAGGGGTATCTAAGCGAAGCATTAAGTCTTTGGCTATATTCAATATGTTTGACACCAATAATGGTTTTTATCAAATTGGCAATAATCTTCACAAAAGAAGAAATAATATTGATATACATCATGTGATGCTTAATTTGAAATTGGATAAAATAACAACTCAAGGTTTCGATAAGGTCATGTTAAACGGGAGCAGTGTCATAAACTTGTCGCTCATAATGGTAGCAATACAAATACATACAGAAATTTCTTGATTTTTTAATTGCTTCAGATCTTTAAGATTTTCTTACTACAAATAAAGGAAGCTGTGAGGCCACTAGTTGCCTCATAATTTCTTTTTAGTCTTCAATCATCTGTCATATATAGACCCTCTTTCAAATTGTTTTTAAGGATACTTAGGATCTTGATTTTGTTTATCTAGCACGCCAAATCAAAAGACTATATATTTACCTATCCAAAGCTGTCAAGCCTATTGCCACTTAAGTTTAGCCACTTTTAAGAACGTCCATTACTCGGGTTTCTTTTCGAATTTCTTCATTTCTGACTTTCTCTCTTGAACTTATTCACAATATAGTCCTTTCCGTAACTCGTTTAGCTTTGTGGAACTTGTTTGTGGATTTAAGATCAATATTTAAGATCGATATTTTACCAAAAAGTTTCTAAGAGTTAAATTTAGTCAACAAATGATGCTTCTATCAAAATATAAACAATTTATAGGTAAGTATAAAAATTACCTATGGGTATTTTGACAAAATTTATAAAAAAAAAAAATAATTCAGAAATCATCCGGGAATCTGTGACATGTGTGAATAAATGTACTTTTTGATCAGCTGCTGCTTATATTTCTGAACTTTTTCTTTGGAACGATATTATGCCAACAAAAAACGCCAAAAATATTGTGTTTATACCATATAAGTATGTTTCGATTTTAAGAGCTTAAGAGCAAAATGACGTGCATGTAAAAAAAAATAAAATGTGTGTTTATAAAAATGTACCTATTTCATAGGTTTCTGTTATCACAGATCTAGCACTAGAATGTACTGTAATTTAATTTATGCCAATACTTAAGCCATCGCTAACATACCCCCAAAATTAAGGATATTTTCAAAAACTTATCCATGTTATTGGTATTTTTGCGTGGAACCGTAAATTTAAGCAAATTGCAATCTGAATCTAGTAGGTGCTGTTAACAAGTTATTTAAATGGTTGCTCTAAATAGAAGGTATATCGTTATCTGGACGCATATGGATAACAATATACATAACTGTAATGTTTTTTTCTTGAACACAAAATTTTTATAGAAAAATGCCAGGTAGGTACAGCAAATTTTTCAATTCATATTTGAATGTCCACTGTATACTTATCCTAAAAATTTCCAAGGTTTTATTTAACATTTAGAATTGTATCTTAAAATCTTTGAAGAGAAGAAACATATTTTAATTGTTGATTTACAATTGCTTTAAAGCGAAATGAATCGCTATTTTTACTTATCCCCACGAATTGTCTGTCAATCAGTAATAAATTTTAACATGATATTGGAACGAAACATCAAAACGCAATGGGCGCAGAGAGAAAAATAGCGGGAGGGAGCATTTGGACGCAAGCATCGAGAAATATTTTACTTTACTTCCGTTTATATTGTCTTGGAGGTCATATTTTCCGTTTAGGTGCTGGAAAGTCATCTCTAGGTAGAGATTTTGGACCTTTAGCTGGCGAACAATTTCGCTCGCTGACCAGAAGTAAAAAAGGGAAGAGTTAGATGTTTTTGTGTAATCTTTTATGGTTTTTCTTAATTTCTGGTTTATCTCTTGTATTTATCTACGTAGGCGTTTCATCCATTTATTCGTCATTAAATGGACCCGTATATACTACAATTTAAGTATATGACAAAAACAAGTATATTCACTTGTTTTTTTTTTAAATTTTATTTTTGATATTTCTGTGAAAGAAAATTAACCAAAGCTGAAATTTTCCTAATGCCACCTTCAAAGGTATTTGTCGACCAGTGAAGTATTAAAATCTATTAGTATATCAGGGGTAATACAACCGACATATCTTGCAACGCAGTAAATAATTAATACTCTGTATCTATATTTTCTATCATTTATAGACCGAGAGCTTGGAATATATTTTTAGAAAATTTGTTTAAAACATTTTTAACTTTTCAGCACAAACCGAAGAACTGACTGAAGGTAAGTGGGGCTTTGTCAACTCTTCAGTTTTTAAGATGCAATTTTTTGTTAAAACATGTTTTTTACATCTTAAAATTTTAATAAAATTGTAATTTTAATTTACCCAAGAAAATAAGCCATACAATTTCACTTCAGTACAATAAAAACGTAATGTTGGTAGTGACATTACAACTATAAGATCAACCTGTTTTCTGTAACTATAGAATACTAAATAGGAGGAATACGTTTTTGAAAATTCCCGCGATAAAAAACTGACAGCCCACAAAACAACAAACTTTCAAAATTATTGCATTTCTGCATTTTCAGATTATTGTGTGTTATTTTCGTCAGTTATTCTACCTACTGTAATCTCTTGCGGCAGATCAGTTGGCATAATTGTAGAAAATAACTATAGTCAGTGTTAAAAAAGTTATGGTAAAAATAGAGAATGTTCTCATTCAAAATTAGGTACAGCAAATTATTTTTATTAGCTATTGAAGCAGTTGTTTATATTTTGGATTCAAAACGTTAAGCAGCTCTGCAGAAAAAAAATGTTCGACTTAAATATCTCATCTTTACTCTAGCTAGTCCAAGCATTCCGCGTATCTTGTAAAGTTTAGACAAGATGATCCAGATTATTGTCCTAATATAAAACAAAGAACCATCCAAGCCAACCTAAGTAGAATAAGATACGATGATAATGCCTGCTTACACTCTAGCTTGCTCAGCGTAACTTTTATTCAATGAGAATGTGAATGAAGGATAAAAGAGTCTTAGAGTAAATTAAAGCTATTTATAGCTAACTACTGCACGAAATGATTTATTTTCTCCTTTAGTTAGTTACTACTAACTAGTTGTCAGTCTTTATTATCTGCTATTTAGACAACTTGCGTTCGTCACTGTTCCATTAGCAGAATTTACTTGCCAACTAAGTAGGCTATTTTAAAATCTGACCACCAAACTTAATTATAACTGGCGTTTGATTTCTTTATCATCAACAAATTCTGATTTAGATGTAAGTTTACTGCTTTTATTAACTTAAACATTCTCTATTTTTATTTTGTCTTCAAAATCTCATATCTCTATCCAATGTCAACTCTTGGCAATATGTTTTTTAACAAAGGTATACGGCAAAACACGCAACATGCTAGAACCATTTTTAAAGCATTGGTAAAAGGATAGTTTCAGATAAAATGACTATTCAGAATACATTGATTCAATCACTAAAATAAATTTCGACAATTATGGTCCAGAAATTTGTTTTATGACAAATACATGGAATCATCATCACTAGCACTTTTTTAAATTAACTATTGCTTCTGGTGATACCTCTTCTATATTTCAAACTATCAGATACTACTTAAACAAATCTTGGTTTTTATTATGCCGCTTCATTTATGGTCTTCACTAGATTTGTTTTTAATAAGAGCATTTGCGATCTTTCCGGCTCCGTTCAGGCCGTTGTTAATTTTAAGTTAAACCTGTATGGTTTATTGTCATTATCAGTACCGCATAATGGTGCAATGATAATTAATAGATTTTCATGATGATTAATAGACATATTTTAAACTGATCTACCCTTATAGGTGCTATATAGCATATTTCCTGTTGACCATTACTGTATTATTCTTTTTGTACTTTAAAGGAACTTCTGTATTGTAAAGAAACTGATAAACTCATCTATGTAAAAGTGATAATCCAAAATAATGCAGATCTAAACCAACTTGCCGAAAAATTAAAATAGTTCGATTGTAGATCTTATGCATTGCATATTCTCAATTAAAGAGAAAATAATTTTACAAAAGAATTAAACATGTGATGGAAACATAGTATTTGGGAATGAAATTATCTATCGACCAAAAAAAAAAAGAGAAAGAAAAAAGAAATAAATAATTAAATGAGATCAACGAGAAGACTAAAATACGATGCTCAGACAATATCTAAAACCGAAATTCCTGAAACCGAGAATAACTTACAAAACTTAAACCCAAAAGACATTCAGATACACGAGAATGACAATGTTATTGTACGGTATCTTTATTAATGAAGCAGAATTGTCCAAAATAATAAAAAACCTGTGAAATTCTTTCAGAATATAATGTGTCAAATCTCTTTTAGTATATCTTTTTAATTAACTTTTACTTATTCATTTATATTTCTATCAAGTCGCTCGCTTTCGATATCTTTTTGGCGCCCAACTTTGGACTTTTTGTACATACTATTCCAAAACACCATCTTGTTTTGTGGGTATACTCAGTCATGTTAACGATTATTTTGAAACACCTAGTACATGAAACAAAAACATCACTTTACTTATTGTCTTAAAGCTTGAAATACTTTAAAAACGATCTAAGCATTTTCTGATAAATGGAAAGGAAATCTGTGGCGAAAATCTTTTTCATCGTCGGGCGGCTATTTCTGTCTGACTGTCATCCTCGCTCTCCGTCAAAGCTGCCAGTTGAGTATCTGGTAGTATTGTGAGATGGGTGGCATCGGACTGTAGTGTGCTACATTCACCTTGACTATCACTGTTATCCTTTTTTTGAAGTTGCTGCACAAAATTCTAAAACAACAATAAATACATTTAGTACCTATTTAGTAGATTTTTATGTGTAATTTATAGCGTAAGTATTTGCTCCAACAACAGACCATACAGACGAAGAAATCCAAATGTATCAGGACGATATATATACTGCGCTTAATGACTTTCCTACTCAATGCACAATTTTATGTAGTGATTTTATCGCAAAAATAGGTGTAAAAGAAGCAGAGCTAGAAAACTCCTTGGGAAAATTTGTTTCCTTAGGAAGAAATGACCGAGGAGAAACGATACTAGGATTCCTACTTCAGAATAATTTATTCAACATGAACAGCTTCTTTCACAAAAAGATGCACAGAAGATGGACCTGGGAAAGTCTAAACGGTAGAATAAGTGGCAAAACACAAATAATTCAAGATGTAAGTTCTCAACAAGTTTACTACAAGCAGAGACCACAGAATGATACGAGCGAAAGTCCAAATCAACATCAAAAGAGAAAGGAACATACCTAAGGATTAAGAATGAATCTTATGGTATCTGGATAACCCCATTAGGTATCAACCAATATCAGGCACATATCAATAATAAGTTACTACTGCATGCAACCTCCGAGAACGATCTTAACGACTTGAATAATTGCATCCTAAAGTCACTTACAAGAAAGTCACCGAGTGCACTGTCCTAAAAGAAAAGTCCATATACCGAAACTCTTAAGAGAAATGAATAAAACTGTTTCGAAGGCAATCAGAAGTGATTTAAAGAAATTTAAAACCGATAATATTAAACGCACTATAAAGAAAAATAAAAGCCTAAAAGTACTATGTAGAAAGCTAACGAATGGGAAATGTGAAATTCATAAATTGAGAAACAAACAAAGGGAAATAATATTACTAAGAGGCGAGTTAATACAGTGCGTCGAATAGTTTTACGAGGAATTGCATGGAAGTAGACGAGATGATCAAACATGAATACAAATAACCATTTCAAAGAAGATTATGAATCAAGGTTCCGAACTAATGCCAGATATGAAAGTAGATAAGATTCGACAAGCATTAAGCAAAATTAAAAAAAAAGGCTATCGTGAATGGAGGAGATATGCTATTAAATAAATTAAGGAAACTGTTTAATCTATATTTGCAGCAAAGAGACGTGCCCAAAGAATGGAACAATGCTATAATCATCCTTTTGCATAAAAAAGAAGACAGAACGGAACTAGAAAATTATAGACCTATTAGCCTATTGAACCACAACCACATGTACAAGCTCTTCACTAAGTGATATCAAGATTGGAAAAAAAAATTGATTTCTACAAACAAATCTCTTTTCCCTCATTTTCATAGATTTTCATAAAGCGTTCAACACGATCGAAATAGACAGCCTTAGAGAAACAATAAATGACAACAGGATTGACCATAGGTATATTGAACTTATTTACAATATTTACATAGATGCCACTATGACTGTTAAGATACAGAATAAAACCCGACCAATAAAAATAGAACGTGGGATAAGGCAAGGAGATATACTGTCATCGAAATTATTCATATTGGCATTAGAGTATGCCTTTAAGATGGTCAATTGGGACCACAGAGGAGGGACAATAGACGGCGAAAAGCTTAACCATCTCCGTTTCGCAGATGACATTGGCATTGTCAACCTTATCACAGATAATTTAGGAGAAGTCACAGATATTTTAAATAAATTGGACTTTATATGTTCGAAGGTGGGCCTCAGAAGGAACTTGACCAAAACTAAGTTTATGACAAATATGGTCCCCAATAACCATTTAACTATTCAAGACAAAGTGGTACAACTGCTGGAGAAATATACGTATTTGGGTCATGAAATAAGAATCTGCAGGGATAACCAAACATGCGAAATACAAAGATGAATTATTTTAACGTGGGCAGCCTTAGGAAAACTGCGAGACACACATAGGACCAATATACCAATTAGCCTCAAAAGAAAAGTACTTGACCGATGGGTATTACCGGTCATGACCTATGGGGCGGAAACTATGACTCTAACCAAAACAGCTTCATAATTGAGAATGGAACAGTCTATGCTGGAAGTGACGTTGAGGTACCGAATAAGAAACGAAGATCTGCGAAGAAGAACGAGTATTGCTGATGTTGTGGAACGCATAGAGGAACTGAAATGGAACTGGGCAGGTCATGTAGCGAGAATGCACGACTCACGATGGACGAGCAAAATTACAAATTGGAGGCCAAGAGCAGACAAACGTAGTAGAGGAAGACCACCTATACGTTGGGCTGACATCAGGCGTATCACCAAAAATTGGCAACAAAGAGCACAAAATCGTAAAGAATGGAGGAGTTTAAGAGAGGCTTATGTCCAGCAGTGGACGTTATAAATGAAGGCTGGATTATGATGATGATGATGATGGTTGAAGTGAAAAAGAAAAACCGTTAAAAAAGTGCCATAATTAAACTTTATTTCACGCTTCTCTTATGCTAACAGAGTTGAATAGTACAGTTCCTCCACACTCTTTGCGAGAAAAAAATATACGATTCACCTTTGAAATCATACGAACTATCACAATTTAGTTTAATTCATTTGTTTCTGTTAATATTTTTATTACCAAATATAACGAGAGGATGGCGGGAGAAATACTTTATCGAATGGAGCAACGCAGATAATACAAAATAAATTAGAATCTGCTTGTTCAAGGCAGATTATTACCTCTATGGAAGGTTGTCACTCCATCTTTTGCGCGGTCATTTTGCTTATGTGGTTATTCTATTTTTTTTCTATTTTGTGTTTATTCATTTATACACTTACGTTAAATTTTCTTCTAATGTCTGTACTTCTCTTTCGAGCTCTCAGCTTATTTCCTGTAATTCTTCTCAGTATTCTCATCTCTGTCGTTTCCAGTGGCTTTTGCGTTGTGGCTGTGTCGGGTATTGTTTTTGACGCATATGTCATTATTGGTCTTACACTAGCTTTCTAAATTCTTGATTTGATCTCAGTGGTAATGTGTCTGTTTTGCCATATAGTGTTATTAAGGCATCCTGCCAATCTAGTTGCTTTTTGTATTTGATCTTTCAATTCCTTGTCCAGGTGTCCATAGCTGGGCAATGTAATTCCCAGGTATTTTATTTCCATTACTTGTTCAATACAGATGCCATCAATTTCTATTTTACATCTGGTTGGTTCTTTGCTGATACTATTGTTTTAGTTTTTTGAGATGAGATTGTCATATTAAATTCTTTTTCTCTTAGGTTAAATCTGTGGACCAGTCGTTGAAGACTATCTTCATGTTGGACTATCAATATTGCGTCGTCTGCGTAATAGAGTATTTCGATTTCTTTGTTTCCCACTCTGTATCCTCTTCCTTCATTAACGCTTTTGATGATTTCATTTATGATTAAATTGAAGAGTATGGTGCTCAATGAATCCCATTGTCTTCTTCCGCTGTCTATTTCTATAGGTTCTGTAAGTTGTCTATTTATTTTGACTTCCATTTTGTTATTTTGGTAGATGTTTTTGATAGTTTTTATAATAGTTAGGGGAGCTTCTCTATTATACAGAAGATGGATTGTATCGTTGAGTCTTAGTCTGTCAAACGCTTTCGTTAGGTCAATTAGACACAGAAATGCTGGTCTGATATACTCTAGTGACTTCTCAGTAATTTGCTTTATAATGACTATTGCATATGTACACGATCTTCTACTACGAAAACCCTGTTGTTTATCTGCTAAACTTATCCTCTGATTTATTAGCACTTGTAAAATTTCAGTTGTAAGTTTTAGCGTAGTATTTAACAAGTTTATCTGTGTAGTTTTCTGGCTGTTTTCCATCTCCTTTTTGAATAGTAGAGTTAGTTCGCTTGTTCTCCATTATTCCGGTATTTTGTTATTTTATAACTTTATTAATTAATGTAGTTAATTGTTCTGTCATTGCTGATCCACAATATGTCAGTAACTCGTTTGGTATCCCGTCTTTACCTACTGCTTTTCTGTTCTTCAGGTTTCAAGTATTTTCCGAACTTCCTGTACATTTATATTAAGTTCTTCATTTGTGGTAATTTCTGCTGTTTTGATAATTTGAGATTTGAGTTTGACGTATATAACATAAAATAGTCGAGGCTGGTTTGTAGATCATCATCATCATCATCACACAGCCAAATTTGTCCACTGTCGAACATAGGCCTCCTCAAGATGTCTCTTGAGGCAGCTGTGCAGCTGCGATCCAGTTTGTCACTATTCTTTTAATGTCGTCCGTCCATCTGGTAGGTGGTCTTTCACGATTTCGCTTGTCTGCCCTTGGCCGCCATTCTAAAATCTTCTTTGTCCATCTGTTGTCTCTCTGTCTTGCGACGTGTCGTGACCATTTCCACTTCAACTTCGTAATCCGTTTTATGACGTCTTCCACTCCAGTTCTTCGCCGTATCTCATCATTTCGTATTCGGTCTCTCAAAGTTACGCCAAGCATAGATCTTTCCATTTTTCGTTGTGCTACTTGTAACTTTTTTATTGATGCTTTAGTCAATGTCAGTGTTTCAGCTCCATAAGTGAGCACCGGAAGTACGCACTGGTTAAATGCTTTTCTCTTTAGCTTTATTGGGATGTTTTCCTTAAACACGTCTTTTAGCTTGCCATAGGCTGCCCATCCTAAAGCTATTCTTCTAGATAATTCGCATGTTTGGTTGTCTCTAGTTATTTGTATTTCGTGGCCCAGATATATGTATTTGTCAACCGTTTCAATATGCCAGTTTTCTAGTTTCAATGGTCCACTAGGTACTAAGTTGGTCATCATTTTGGGTCATACTTTTTGGGAGACTCGTTGTAAATCTTGTAGCATTTCGTTGGCCTCCTTTAAGTCGTCGGTTATTAGAACTATGTCATCTGCAAATCGTAGGTGGTTCAGCCTTTCGCCATCGACACTCAAACCTCTGTTTTCCCATTCTAACATCTAGAATGCATGCTGCATTACGGCATTGAATAGTTTTGGTGACATGTTGTCTCCTTGTCTAACTCCCCTTTTTAGTTTTATTTTTTGAGTAGGGGTGTGGAGGTTTATTGCTGTTGTGGCATTTGCATATATATGTTGAATAATGCTGGTATATCGGTAGTCGATTCTACAATCTCTCAAAGCTCTTAAGATAGCTACCATCTCGGTAGTGTCAAAGGCTTTTTTATAGTCAACAAATACTAGAACTAGTGGCCGGTTGTACTCTATAGTTTTTTCAATTGGGCCTTTAGACCAGTTAGATGGTCATTTGTACCATACCCAGGGCGGAAGCCTGCCTGTTTTCTTAGTTGGCATGTTTCTAGTTTGTTCTCAATTCTGGCAGTGATCATCCCTAATAAAAATGTAAAAGGTTTTGTGACAACTATGTCCCTGCAACCATATTGTTCTGAAAAAAATTATGAAACTATGGACAAAACATTTACATAATTTTAAAGCTGTCTCCAGAGAAAATGTTGCTAAAACTTGATGGCTATCCCACTCAAAATGGACCGACGTATTAGAAAAATTACGCAAATTTTATATTTTATGACAGAGTTAATTAGAGAAGCATAAAAAGCATAAGAAGCATGAAAAATTATGTGATAACCAGAAGTTAAATGGAACCAATGGAAGTACATATTGCAATATCATAGACTTACCTGACTTATCACATCACCATGAGCAGTACGGACTTGGTACAGGTATCTATACTTTTTCTGCTTCATTTCAGCCCTCTCGGCTCTGGTTAGAACCCTCGTGTTCACAGCTCTGGACTTCTTTCTTCCGGCTTTCACTACAAATAATAGTAAGTTAAAAATACCGTTAATATTTAGTTAACAATAAGCTATCTTATTTTAAATGTGCCTATCTTCTAGAGATGTTGGCGACCACATTGACCCATCTTATTCTATTCACAGCAGCTCGAAATAGATCAGTTGACGTTAGACCAGTCCATTTTCCAAGATTGGCCAGCCAGGATATACGTCTACGTCCAGTTCCTCTCTTACCCTCAATCTTGCCCTGTAGAATCAACTGTAGAAGTCGGTATTTATCATTACGCATGATATGGAAGTAAGAAATAAAATTTGTGTTACCCAAAGAGCCATGGAACGATCGATGTTAGACATTTCTCGTAGGGATCGGATCACGAACAAGACGGAGAACAGGAGTGACAGATGCCATAGAAAGAATTATGACCCTTAAGTGGAACTGGGCGGGGCACATAGCTAGAATGTCGGATAACAGATGGACATAGCGAATAATACAGTGTAGACCGAGACAAGAAGCACATCGAAGTAGAGGTCGTCCACCAACAAGATGGTCTGATGACATAAAACGGATCGACAAAAATTGGATGCAAACATCACAAAACAGAAATACATGGAAAATACTGAGGGAGACCTATATCCAGCAGTGGATAGATCCGGGTTAAATGATGATGATGATGATGATATGGCCGAAGTAAGCCAATTTTCTGTTTTTTATGGTTTTAATAATTTCTTTGTCTTTTCTTAGCCTTTGAAGAATAGTTATGTTACTGATATGGTGTATATATGAGACTCTCAACATACGTCAGTAGCACCACATTTCAAATGCCTCCAATCGTTTTATGGCATCTTCTGTAAGGCTCCAGTTTTCTACTCCATAAAGGAGGACACTAAAGACGTAACATCTAAGAATTATTATGCGTATAGTAACACTTAAAGATAGGTTGCAGATAATCTTCCTAAGGCTGTTGAAAGAGCTTCTGGCTTTTTCAATACGAGTTTTTATTTCGTAGCTGTGATCCCAAGTATCCTTAATATTGCAGCCCAAATACCATATTTTTTCCACCCTTTCTAAAGGTTTTCTTGCAATTTAGTTTTAGGCCGTATTTGTTACATGCTTTTACAACGTTATCCATCATCCTTTGGAGTCCCTGCGCACTATCTGCCAGCAACACTGTATCGTCTGCATATCTAATGTTGTTTATAAGTTGGCCATTTACAGTAATCCCATTTTCTGATTCGTCCAAGGCCTCTCTAACACTATATGCAACCCTGTCTAACTCCTTTTTCAACTGTGAAGATCTCGGACAGTTCATTTTCTAATCGTATTGTTGCTTTTTGTTGGAGATATAAGTTTGAGATCAGTCTTATATTCTTACCATCGAGTCCTGATGTTTTTAGGATATCGATTAGTTTCCCATGTGGAACTTTATCAAATGCCTTCTCGAAATCAATGAAACATGCATACACATCGCAGTTGCCATCCCTGGTTCTCTGTATTAGAACTTGCAAACTAAAAAGTGCTTCCCTCGTTCTGAGTCCTGCTTTGAATCCAAATTGAACTTCACTCAGGTGTCATAACAATAAGCCATCTAAACAAACAATATTTACACCAATTTTCCTTATATTCTAGTTTTTCTTCTTTGATTTTTCTCTTTTTCATGTCTGTTTCTTTCATAGCTATTGATTCATCTTTCCATTGTATTCTGTGCTCATCGTCCCAGGAATGTTTACATATCCGCGATTTGTCGTAGTTTATGTTTTTGATGTATGTTTCATGCTCGTTTGTCCTTACACTTGGTGGTCTTGCACTTTCTCCCACATAAAAAGTGTCATATCCTTACATTCACAGGGTATTTTATGGTTTGATCTCTTTGTGTGTTGTTAGATTTTATTCTAGACAGATTAGATCCCAGTGTATTGGTTGTTATAACAATTATTTATGATTCTGATTGTCCTCCATGTTAGGTCTGTTCTTTGAGACTTTTATAAACACTTACGTAGATCTGTTTTTCTTCAAAACAACATTGAACGTTTAATTTTATAGTTTCTGAGTTTATGGTACTTATTTATGCTCCACTTACATCATATTGATAGTTGAAAATTCCTTTAAGTTATATTGAACGAAGTATCTCAGTTTTAAAGTAATAATAAACTTACCATCATCATGATGAATGCCCCTTCCAGTAATTCCGAACTGAATGATCAATCCAGCGAGCACGAACGAGGGCCAAGCTCCGAGAACTATCCAGGAGAACCAACATGGTGGAGGTTGAACAGGTCGCAGAGACACCCTTTGCCACAGCCAAGAAACCATCGACAACTTTTCAACGAAGTAATCAATAGATATAGATAGTGTCGCTCCACCGTATAAACTTGAGCCAAGTATTGTGAGACCTGAAAACAGTTTAAATTTTTTAATCAAGAGTAGGTACTATGAGAATAAGATAAGTATAGATAAATAAAAACTTTGAATATAATAATAATATCATTATTAATGATAAATGAACTTTCTTACAATAGTACAAGTCGTCCCAGTAACGCAACTTAAAAATATTGGCAATATCATTTTAAAGTCATCTACTTTAAAATGTTGAATATATGTCTGAATTGTCAATATCAATGAGACAAATATTGTGGCTTATTCCCAACAAAAATAGTAAATAGAACATAAATACTTTCGGACAGGTTCTGGCGTCAATTGCATCTTTTATCCTATTTCAAGTAGCTAGGGTCGATGCGCACTAGCCCAGGGGGACCGACAGTTTTACGTGACCTCCCAAGCATAGTGAACGGTTCGAATTATTTTTGGAAATGAAAATATCATTGTTGGTGCTTCGAATCGAACTTGTGCGCTCTTACTTAGAATGCCAGTATCTTGCCGTTGAGCTACGGCAGTTCACATAATGAATATAACCGATTAATCTCTAATAGATACAAAAATAATACTATGTACATACAATTTGGTACCTACATAACTATTGTGCAGTTTTCACCTCTACAGATTACAATTTACTCTCCATTTATTAATCTTGAATGTTCCAGTAATAGTGGACACATTTAATACATTTTTTAGATTTGTTCTAGTTCTTTATTTCTTATCTGTGCTTTCTATTTTCTATTTTTGTGTTTTCACTAGTTTATTTGATGTAGTGTAAAACTTATCCTGCAAATCTCAGTAAATTGACCAACTGATAGATATTTCCACTTGTATTTGTACTATCTCATTTTTAATTTTAGCTTATATGCTGTGTTTTTTATTAGTGACAATATTACAGCGTTTTCACCGTTTATCCTAATGGAAAGTTGTTCCTTTTATTGGCATAACTATTATTATATAACTATCAGGCAACAAGTGTGTTGCCTGATGCATCATCATTTATTTGGCATTTTGTTTTTTCATCTTTGCCATTTTCAATATTTTTAATAACACTATTAACTATCTTTTTTGACCACATGGATTTCACATTTTATGAACCATTTGCCATATGTGAGTCCATTTTATACAAAGATTAAATAATAAAATTTTAAGAATATAAAATATCTCTTTATAACACCTTAGTAGTCTGTAACACACTGAATAAACACAAAGATATACATAAATACTTCAGAAAGAACGTTCTCTTTCTCAAATAATTTAGTCGAAAGACGGTGTGTATATAACTGTAAACTCCATGATTGTTAACAAAGTCATGAACATAATACAAATAGGCGTACTGCTGCTATACAGTGCGATAGAGTAAACTGACGCAAAACAGTTCCTGTATCTCTTTCTAATGGGCGGAATTTATAGACCATGTGACCTTAATCATTGGTCATTTAGGTCACGTGGCCGATAAACCTGGTAAATTAGAAAGAGATGTAGTGACTGCTTTGTGCCAGTTTTCTCTGTCTCACTGGGGGAACGCGACTGTATTTTGGCACTCAGATGAACAAAGTTATATCATGTCAACAAAATTGGAGGTTGATTCACTTTTGCCCACAGTGTTATAGGCAACAGCCACATTTAACTGATAAACATGTGAGGGTAGATGTTTTCTCCATGGAAAAACCAAACTCTGATCATTCTAAATGTTCAGTATTGTTAATATGTGCTGTAAATGTTTGTATGTGAGTAGAGTGTAGAATGTTTAGTGAACGTGTGTTCTGTGTTGCATAAGGAATATATATGAAAAATAGAAAAATCAAAGAAGCAGAATGTAGCAAGCTATGGTTGCCAATACTTAAAGAAGAAGTCACCAACAAGAGTATACCAAAAATAGCGGAATAAAAAACCCTGCACACATCATTCTTTATCATACATAATAGATATGCAATATCCTCATGCAACTTGTTATCCTCACAAACCAAATTTTCATAAATATCGTGTAAGTAGTTTCCAATATATCGACAGTGTAAACTCATTGTGAAACACCCTGTATAGTACAATAAATAAAACATAATAAAACAAGGAAGCCACAAAACTTCAATTCTATAAATCTACAGTCGTGTAGACTATAATACAAGCAGCAGAAACTAATTTTCTAACTAGAGTTGGACATGTTTATAAAGGAACAAGAATCTAAACTTCTATAAATATGGAGAAAACATAGACAACAATTACAATCTAAGAGGCAAAAGAGATATGTGAAGACCAAGTAAGTCGTAATACTGTTGTGAAGAATAACATATAAGACTTTATTCCTAGAAAGAAGAAGAACTAAACAATATTTAACTTATATTCTGATTTATGCCCGTTCTTTCGTTTCATCAACTTCAATTTCAACCTTCATTTGATCACACAAAAGCTTTTCAGTTGCCCACTCAATTTGACGATATTAAGCTACACTGATCTACAAAATTAGTCCGAACTAAATAATATGAATTAAAATGAAGAAGCTTTAATATTCTTGGGAAGGTTTTATTTACAATGAAAATATAGTGCTGGTCCTAAGAGTAACACCAAAAGAAAAAGTAGACAGCAGAAGTAGAAGAACTTATATTCGAGTAAACTATGCATATTAACCCATTCGCTGCCATGTTCCAAATTTGTCACTGTTGGTCTTAAATCTGATAAACTATTTTTGTTCGGTAGTGTCAAAACAACACGTCCATACTGAATTTACTCACTGGTTTCGTATAAGTGGCATTTGTTTTGTGATTCATATCAAAATTTCAAGGAAGGTGCAGTTGTATAACTTCTAGTTCGATTATATCTATTTTCTGTTGTGAAATATTACGATCGGGGTAAGTTTAAGCAATATTATATGCCTATACAATGTATCTGTATCGTTTAAATGCTTAACCTCAATTTGAATATACCTCTAGTTTTTGCATGTTCCAAAAATGGAACTTGGCGGTATATGTTGCTAATTGAGGTTTTTCATGAATGTGAAAACATTTTATGGAAAGAAAACGAGTTGTTCAGCTGATACTCTGAACAATCTAATCGATGATCTAAATAAGAAGCAGAAGGAGTTTGATTCTGCAAACATATACATTTATCCTCCAGCGGAAGATTCTGATGGAGATTCTGAATCATCGGATGATGTGAATTTCAATGATTTTTCTGATAAGTTTTCATCAAAGATACTGAACGCCCCAGCTGAGGCAACTCTTATTTCACAATGTGAGACACAAGACGCTGAAGATATGTTCTCGACGAGCGATGATGAACTTCCAATAAATGTGGATCAATCTAATAAAAGAGCGAATAAATCCAATAGACAAAACGACTGGAAAAGAGGTGACTTGTTCCTAGATAATCATCAAGAAAATAACTCACTTTCAAATCCAAATAATGTACACTGTGAAAGTGCAGTCGATTTCTTTACACTTTTTTGGTGTGATAATTTCTTTGAATACATAAAAGACGAGACTATAAAGTATTCCCGACACAAAAATGCAAACACATCATTTGAGGTTACGATTGAAGAACTCAAAGTATTCTTTGCAATCCTACTGATTTCTGGTTATTCCCAAAGGCCTCGGAAAGATATGTACTGGAGTTTGGATTTGGATCTCAGAAACGAAGCAATCGCCAACGCAATGCCGACAAATAGGTTTAGAGAAATTTTGCAAAATTTACATTTTTCAGATAACATTAAGCTACAAAAAAAATGATAAGTTTGCCAAAATAAGACCATTCATACAACATTTAAACAATTCATTTATAAAATATGTGCCGGTTGGTGAAACCATATCAGTATCTGTTGATGAATCTATGGTACCGTACTACAGCCACAATAGCTGTAAACAGCATATTCAAGGGAAACCTATTAGATATGGGTTTAAATTTTGGTCTCAGAATGTATCAAATGGTTATCTTGTGGGTACCGAACCTTACCAAGGGAAAGGAACCTTACTAGGAGAGAGTAACTTGGGGCTAGGTGGATCTATAGTTACAACTTTTGCCGAGAGGGCGAAGCATAATTTTCCAGATCAAAAATTTTTCTTTTTTATTGACAACTTTTTTAGCGGACTTCCACTGATAAAGGCCATGAGTGAATTGGGATATGGTTGCACGGGCACCATTAGACATAATCGAATTGGGAAATGTGCGTTGAATAAAAACGCAATGAAAAAATCAGTTAGAGGATCCGCTGATTCATACAAAAGTTCTGATGAAGATATAATAATTATCCAGTGGAAGGATAATGCCATCGTTCACGTGGCTTCAAATTGTTATGGCGTTCAACCTACAAAATCGGTACGTCGTTATTCTGCAGCAGAAAAAAAATATATATAATGGTAGATGTTTCCTACGCAATTCAGCAGTACAATACTCATATGGGAGGTACTGATTTAATGGATAGAAATATCGCTAACTATAGACCAAAACTGCGTAACAATAAATGATGGTGGCAAATTTTTGTTTACCTTTTGTCTGCTTCAATCTATAACGCATGGATTTTATATAGAATTCAACATCACAATAACATTCAATCTTACGCTGATAAATTCGTTGAAAGTATGCGTCCATTGGATTTATTAGAGTGTACAAGAAGCATTGTGGCAACATATCTACTACTCAACCCTCGACAACCAAAACCTGATAAGACAAAATTAGGAATATTATTTCGAAAAATTCCAGGATCTGTTTCACAAAATATGTCGGTTCTGCATTACCCAATTTCTTTAAAACAAAACAGATGCAAAATTTGTAAAACAAACACAACTTTTGGATGCGGTATTTGTACAATTAATGTACATCCTATTAATTGCTTCAAATCTTTTCATGAAAAAAATTAATAGATCCTCTCAAAATGATATCATTTTTTTATCAATAAATGTTTAAGTTTAAATTGACGTTGTTGATTTTTTATTACCTATTTATGGCCATGTTCCAAAATTGGAACAAAAATTTTTTTAGACACAGGGCTATTGTGAAAAGATTAAGAATTTTTTAAATATTTTTCTATAAGTTCAGAACATAAAATTGACCTGTAGAAGCTATAAAATAAAAAAAAAGAAGTTTGGCAGCGAATGGATTAATTTAATATTTGTTTGTGCGTATAATATTCGTTATTAAAAAATACTTACTTTTTCTAAAATATAAATTAAAAATAGCAACTGTCAGCGCCGAACATAATAATACGCCTACACACAACCAGACAGATCCTTTGGGTGATGTTTCCACGAAGTGGTCAGCGGTGAAGAGTCCTGCAAGTCCCAATAAGACGCCAGTATGTAAACCGCTCATGAACAATCCCACGTATTGCACCAACATGGTGATCAGACCGAAGAGGACACCGGCCAGTAACGACACACCTAAAACAACCGTATAAAATAATTTTATTAATCAGTATTAAGATGGTTATTTATATAACGTCATTGCTAGCACGTAATAGTACTCGAACAGTGCTCGAAGCATTTGGATGCATCACTATAGCAGTTTTGTTTGTAATACATACTTTTTCAAGTCACTTAATAAACTAAATCTCTTTTTAAATCAAGTTTAGTATGTATGTAAAAAATGGTAATTTAAAAACTGAACTTTGACTTTAAAGACTTTGATAATAATTCCTGATTCCATAGGAATATTCGGACTATATTTTAATTTGATATAATAAATTATCAGAGTGATGATTAGACTTCGGCAAATATGCATATTGCATATTTTGCATATTGTGCATATTTTATGCAAATATTTCATATTTTGGCATATTTGTATAAAAGTTTGCATAAAGTGCATAAAAGTTCAGATTTTTATACTGTATTTGAAAATTTTTAAACATACCAATTTATTTCAATTCTTGTATAAAATTTTGTAGTCATTTTAATCAAGAAATGATCTAAGTACGTAATCTCTACAGATACAAAACATTTACAATTTCAAAGAAGATCAATTTAAGTAGCCCTCAACATTCTTAGAAAGTCTCGGTCACTGAGGCATTCAGTTATTGGATAATCGCTAAGGGTTCGCTCATTTGCATTTTATGATCTAATCCTTAAATCTATCTACAATTTATTGTATCTTAACAGCAGGTAAACGGCTAATAGTTTTGTTCCTAATTTAGGGATTTTCCAAAATCTCCCAGTTTATTGAATTAGGTACCTAAACATTTCTAATTTGATGCTCAGATTTGTAAATCATTTTTGTTTTGATATTCAAAGCGTTAACACTCGTTGTGCGTAACAAAAAGGAAGATTGTGATTTTATAATGCCTAAAACAACCAGTGCTTCAACTTGGATTAAACCTTATAAAGAGCTGTCTATGGATATGGGAAAAATCTACTGTTCAGTCTGTGGCAAAATTGTAAGTATCTAATATTTTCTATTAAATATCTAATATTTCATACATACAGGGTGTTTCCAAATGACACCTACAACGTTTGACTGTAGATACTTCTCGAAAAATTGAACAAAACGATATAGTTAATGAGGGGTCAAACTTATTTACTTTTCGAGATACAGGGTGTTAAAATTAAAAAAAAAAAATAAATTCTTTTAGTTAATAATAACAATAACTTTAAAACCAATAAACGTATTTACTTGAAATTTAGTACTCGTAGGTTGTTTTTAAATGAAAAATAGCTTCCTTTAGTGAGAAAAAATTGTCCATGGTACAATACAATGGTGTGTATTTAGAAAAACTTTTCACCTTTACTTTTTTTTATGAAGTCAGCTATTCTAAAACACAATTATTTTTATTGTAATTGAATTAACAAAAAAAAAACTTTTGTTGAATTTTAAAATAAGTTATATGATGTACTAATGGTTAGTAACAAAAACTAATTTGTGGATTAATACTGCATTTAAAACACTTAGCGAGTGTTTTTTTTCCAAACCAGTTATTTGATTAACCAAAAACACCTTGTATATTTTTATATTTTAAAGATTGGGTTAAAATAAAGGTTTTTATTTTTATTTATAGATAGCATGTGAGAAGAAATTTCAGATAGACCAACATGTGAGAACTGCTTCACACATTGCAAAAAAGGAAAAATAGGAGGAAAACATCAAACTTCAATGGCTAAATGTTTCCAATCTACTTCAAAAAAATTAGATGAGCAAGAAACTTTTAATGAAGACTTGTGTCGCGCATTAGTGTCTGCAAACATACCGCTTTCAAAATTAGCAAATGTAAATTTTAGTTCGTTTCTAAAAAAATATTGCAAACTTAATGTTCCAAGTGATCGGTCTCTAAGAAGAAATAATGTGAACGGGCGATACTCGTCGGTGTTAATTAATATTAAGGAAGAAATTGCAGATAATTATTTTTACATATCTGTAGACGAAACCACTGATTCCTCAGGAAAGTATATTGCTCATTTATTGATTGGTGTTCTTAAAGAAGATACCTTACCAAAATCTCATCTTATTTCATGCCAGCAACTTGAGAAAACAAATGCTTTAACAATTTCGCGTTTTATACAAGAAACATTAGCAACTTTTTTTTCTTGCGACAACTATTCCTTCTAATAAATTACTGCTTATTTTATCGGATGCTGCTCCTTATATGGTGAAAGCAGGACAAAATTTAAAAATATTTTTCCCAGATTTAATACATGTTACTTGTGTAGCGCATGGATTAAACAGAGTTGCAGAGGAAATACGAAAAAAGTTTCCTCTTGTAAATACCATGATATCCAGTGTCAAAAAAGTATTTCTTAAATCTCCTATAAGAATTCAACTTTATAAAGAAATGCTACCTAACATTCCTCTTCCACCACAACCTATTTTAACGCGATGGGGAACATGGTTAGAAGCAGCTAATTTTTATGCAGATCATTTTGTTAAAATAAAGAACATAATTGATACGTTAACAGATGAAAGTTCCCAATCTCTTTTGGATTCTAAACAAACTTTTCAGAGTAACTTGCTTCAACAAGAACTTTCATTTATAAAATCAAATTTTAGTTTTGTTCAAAAAACAATTACTCAGTTAGAATCACCAAAACTGTCATTGTTCGAAAGTACAGCATTAATAAAAGAATTTGCGTCATGTTGTCGGAACGTTAGAGGTAATATTGGAAAAGATATTTTAAAAAAATTTGAAGCTACTATGGAAAAAAATAAAGGTTACCATATTCTTTCTGAAGTAGTCAGTGTTCTAGCTGGAAATATTTCAGAAACAATTAATTTAGAACCAAATGTTTTGGTTAGTTTGGTGGTTAGTGGAACACCACTTGGTCATTTATTGTTACCATAATTCTAAATAAGTTTATTCATACTTAAAAATGATGTAGTTACTTAAAATAAATGTAAATCTTAATGAATAGTAGGAAATATTTAGTTATGTACACTTTTTTTTTTTAAATAAAATCGTTACTATTTTACGATTTTTTTATTTATTTGTATGCATATTTTGTAACATATTTGCATATTTTCGGGTAAACACGTGCATATTTATGCGCATATTTTCTACATTTTTATTTGCATATTTGCCGAAGTCTAGTGATGATGATTAATCTTTCAGTTTCTCAGAAAATATAGTCAACAAATTACATTTTCAGAATATCCAAGTATACATTTTTTTAGCATTACACCATGCTATGAACATACTTGGATTTTTTAGTATACTTGGAATATCACTGCCACTATTTTACATTAACATTACAATAAACAACTAAAAAACCAAATAGAGAAAATTTTACTTTTTGTGCAAACGTTTTGTATCTGTTAATTCAAATATTTATACACGCATTGCCAGCGGCTACTATTGACGACGCATGCTTTTCAGATTTTAACGCCATAAAGAAGTAAAGAGATGGCCTCCATGCTCTTCAATTTAATCATGGATCAAATTATCAAAAGCGTTAACAAAGGAAGAGGATACATAATGGGAAACAAAGAAATAAAAACACTGTGTTATGCTGACCACGCAATATTAATAGCTCAAGATGAAGATAGTCTGCAAAAACTGGTCCACAGATTTAACATAACAGCAAAAGAATTTAATATGACAATCTCATCTCAGAAAACTAAAACAATAGTAGTCAGCAAAGAATCAAACAGATGTAAAATAGAAATTGATGGTATCAGTAGTGAAGTAATGGAAATAAAATACCTAGGAATTAAACTTTCCACCTATGGAGACCTGGACAAAGAAGTGAGAGATCAAGTACAAAAAGCAAATAGACTGGCAGGATGCCTTAATAAAACCATATAGAATAGACACATTAACACTGAGATGAAGCCAAGAATGTATAATATGTATATATGCCTCAGAAACAAGATCCGACACAGCCACAACGCAAAGTACTGAGAAGAATTTCAGGAAATACACTGAGGAATCGAAAGAGAAGTGAAGACATTAAAAGAAAATGTAACGTACAGTGTATTTACAAATGGACACAAAAGAGAAAAAAAAAACATGGAATAACTACATAAGCAGACTGGAGGAGATCCGTGTCGTCAAAATAGCAAGAGATAAGTGACCAATCGGCAAAAGAAGTATCGGACAACCGCGCAAAAGAAGGAGTATAAATCTTCCATAGAGGTATTAATAACCCAATGAACAAGCAGAATTGCTTATAAAGAGGAAGAAGAAAAAAATATTTTACAGGTGCGTAGTTGCGCATCGTAAGCCACTGATGTGACTGGATGCAAAAATATTAAAAATTTAATGAATTTATTGATTTACCAAATAGAATACATTAAATTATTGACTTAACACATAATGTTAAATGCTTTACATAAAAATATTGGGTATATCTATATTCCCATTAATCACCTGTCAAATTCATGTCGGACATTGTCTCTAATAATGTGACGTCAGTTCCGTCGTTCATCAGCTACATGCAAAAATATCAACATGTTCCATCCTTAACATATTACATACTTTAAAAACTCACACAACTGACACTTCAAACGAGTAGCGTTGCGCGCTAAATAGCTGTCTTTTACTTTATTTTTGAAATCTCGCGTTTTTAACAGCTGGCAACCCTAATTTGCGACCATTTTTCTCAGGCAACCTTATGTCATCTTAAAAAAATATGGTTTTAATTTAATACAAAAAAACATTTATATAGGTACGTCATGAGCAGCGTATTTTATTTAAAAAAGAAATGAACAAAATAAATTTTTTGCTAAAAAATTAATTACTATTATTTGAATTAAAAATATTTGCTGCAACTTTTTTGCAACCTATTATTATGAATTCTCCTAATTTTAAATGTATCTAAAAATATGAGTTTGATTAACTACGTTATGGGCACAGTGATCCTGCAGTGAGATCTTTAGACTAATAGAAACGGACTTCATTTGCGGCAAAATACAAAAAATTGCAAACGAAAGCTGCACTCGTTACCTTTCAAATCCATTT